ATGCCATCACTCACCTTTCTCTTACAGCATCTTTTCATTTGAAGCCTGCATGCCCTCACCCTGATCTACTAGTTGATGCTGATAAGCAGTTTCAAGCTTTGGAAGCAATTGTTGAAAGTCCTGTAGATCATCCAGTTATTGTTTCTGGTCCTTTTGGCTCTGGAAAGACAAGAATTATAGCTCGTGCTGCTTACGAATTCATTCAAGCTGCTTTGGAATCACACACTCAAACAAGGATTCTGTTATGTGCTCATCATACCAATACAGTTGAAACATATATGCTCAAGTATTTGCATCCTGCTTTTTCTCGTATGTCACAGGTCAAAATTATTCGCATAACAAGAAAGGATTCTTATAATTTTTCTCACAATGTAATGAACAAGACATTATTTGATTTCAGACGTGACATTGTGATTGGACGGCACATTAATGATCGTATTCTTGTAATCATGACAACATATATGAGCTCATTGCCAGTTGCAAAAATCCTCAATAAAGTTCGCTTTACTCATATCCTTCTTGATGAAGCTGCACAGGTGAGAGAACCTGAAGCAATAGCTCCTCTTTCTCTGGGAGATGCTGCTACTAAAGTAATTATAGCAGGAGATACAAAACAGGTAATGCATCATGTCAAATTTATTCAATTTTAATGTTAACTTTAGGTTGGACCATCTGTTCTTGTTTTGGGTGAAAAGAGTAAGGAGTATGGTCTGGCTCAATCATTGCTAGAGCGTTTGGAGAAGAAATACCAGGAGTTTGCAGGCAAGCAACAGGATTTTAAGTACTTGAAATACTTAGCTACAAATTATCGTTGTTGCCCTGAGATTGTGAAGTTCCTGTCGAGCACAATTTACAAGTACCCAATTGCCTGTGCACCTGAGGCATATTTGAATAAACAGTATCCAAAAATACGTTATCCTCTTGTATTTTATTGGTGTAATTGTAATGACACTTCAAGTCAGGACTTAAAAGGACTAATGGAGTTTGTAGCTGATGCAGTTGTACGACAGGCACAACATTATTTTTCCTTCTGGCCACATGAATGGGATCATGTCAAGATGAGAGATGTGTGTATCATATCTCCTTTTAGAACTCAAGTAAGCAATATAAGATATATTGGAGCATGCATTATTGAGTTTATGTATAGTTGAATATAATTGAATCAAAGTTGAAGAATGTGGGGTTAGGTAAACTGACACTTTTGCCATCATATTTAATTCAAGGTACAATGATTATTATTTAGTATTATAATTGTTATTATATGTCATATAGGTCATGAGTTTCAAGCTGTTTTTTTGACGACATTTGAGCCACTTGAAAGTGATGGCACAAGTAGTAATCCAACAAAGAGCCTAACAAATCCTCAGATTTTTAACACAGCTGTTAGTCGCTCCAAATCTTTTGTTGTTGCTATAGGTGATCCATTCTCTCTGCTTAAAGCTGAGAAGCAATTTCCAGAATGCTGCTGGAAACATTACTTGAGCATTTGTTTGGACAATGATACCATTTTTTTCCCTGAGTCCTGCAAACCAAACCAAAGAGATAGATTCAAGAAAAAACTTAGTGCAGAGCTTGCATTACCAGAGAAAGCAAAAAGTGCTGAGTATGCTTCACATAGTCATGAAACTAGCCCATTTTTACATAGTAAAACTCACTGACTATAGAATATTTGTTTGAATTATGACATTTGTGTGCTATTTAGTTCCTATACATAATAAATGATATAATTTGTAACACTTTTGGTACCCACTTACTATAAAAATAGTAAACATGTTGACATTATACTATTGTTATTTTTTATACTTCATTTGTTACATAAACATGGTTCCCAAGAACGGAATCAGTAATCATAACAATCATTATTCATTGCATACTATGGCCATATAAGGAAATGTTGTGTAGATTACACACAGTGAATCCTATCTTTGTGAATGTTATTTCCTGCCTTATTGCAAAGAAAGAAGATTCTAGCATGGCTCTTCTGTTTGAAGGTAGTTCTACTGTATGTGTAAAATAGTTGTTAATGCCAATCCTTAGAATTTGACAATATAAGAAAGTTTGGAATTCCTCAGATGGAATATTTACTCAATCATGTAGTTGTAGAGGTAAATCAGATGAATAATAGACTAATTTTGATGCTAGTGTATTATAGATTCCAAGTGAATGGGAATATTTTGGAACTAACTTGAAAATTCCAGGATCTGAACTTGAAGCAATTAAGATGAATGTTACTTTTGCAGGAAAACCAGACAAGATGTTTTTTGAAGTTTTAAGATTATGGGAAAAAGCTCCTAATTGTGAAGTGCCATTTACTTGGGGAACTATTTTGCGTGTCCTTGTTTCTCCATCAATTCACCAAGAACGCTTAGCTGAAGAAGTGAGTGAAAACATACTTTTATAGACTATGTATAATAATAATAATTTGTTATTTTAATAGTTGAAAAATAAATTAATTTCTGACTTAGAAAATAAAACAGATGACAATGAAATGAACATTGATTTATGCCAAGGTTTATTATAAATTAAGGCACAATTATATTGCATAATCTTCATCGTTTCTAGGTCTGCAACAAAGTTCTGACAGTGCAAGTGATCATGGCTATTATGATGAAGATGATCTCAAAAAATTGTGCAGTTGTGGAGATTGTTCTCTTGAAAAAATTATCACAGAAGGTTGTAGCAATCCTGATTCTTGTCATAGGTTTCCTATACTAGATGTGAAAAAATTACCTGGTTGCAAAAAGCAGCAATACCTATATCTTCTTATGAAAGAAGCAAAAGCAATCAATGAAGCATTTGCCTCCCTATTGACAGATGTTTGTGAATCAATGAAGAAAAGGGATGTATCAGTCAAAACCATTGCTCTTTATTTGAAGAGCTCAAAGTTGCTTGAGATAACAGCAAAGTCTGGTCTAACATTGCGAGAAACTCTGGACAATGCAACAGATATAGATGACGTCTTCAGCATTATCTCTGATATTTCATCTTGGTTTAATCATCACCCTTTAGGATTGCTCATCAACAAATTTGGTACTGAAGAAGATAAAACTAGTTATGAAACATTTCTAGAAGAGAATGTGATGACATATCTGAAGAGGAGCATTACAGAGATACCTAAGGACAGCTTTGGTGAGCATCTTGAAGGGTCTGGTGACTTCAAACTAAAATTGGATCATACAGCAGAGCACGAAAATATTTGTGGGAGTCAAATATATTTTTTGAAAGGAGAAGTTGCAAAGGCACTTGACCTTCCAATGGAGTGCCTAAAATTGGACTCTATTGACAAAGGATGTCTAGAAATAACATTGTCCGTCCCTTTGTGTGTTCATGATGAAATTTTTCCTCTAAAATTTGAGCAAGCTCAAGATCTAGCAAATATTATTATTGATGGAAATTTTCAGCTTACTATAAATTCAATCTGGTATCAGGGATCCTATCATGATATTCCTTTTAAGGTCAGTGCCTTTACATATAAAAAGCAAATCACCTCATTTTTCATTTACAGATTAAAGAACCAATTACATCTGCTTCAAGTCTGCATTTTTCAAAAGCCAAACCAGTACACAAATTCCATCATTCTCAATCTTTACCAGCGGCTAAAGGTACCAGGCAAAAGTCAAGAAAACATGGAAGACAAACATTAAAGCGCAGACCTACAGTGCCTGCTGTGAGACAGAAGTTACCACACATCAAAAAATCACATTCCTGGCCATCCAGTAAATCTACTGGATCATCCAGTAGATCTACAAAAAAGCCTAAATATCTGGAGGTAGATGTAGATCTATGGACTGTAGATGTTGAAATATAATATTAAATTTTTATTAGATTTACTATTATTGTTGCTGCTGATGTATAAAACTTACAGTTGATGTTGTTATTATTTTTTAAATATTATCATTTATCATTAATTTTAGTAAGTTAGGAGTAAATTAGACAAAGTGGGGGAGCAATAAGACAAAATAAGATAACACAAACAATATAATAATTAATAATAATTAGATCTAGATCTAGTTATCAACTAGACCTCACCACCATCCTCAAATGCCAAGCCTCTCCACTTTGTATCTAGAGTCTATGGTGCAATAAATATGATGGTAGCTAGTTAATTGTGACACTGCATGAAGGTCCACAAAACGTTTCATAAACCATGTAATATTTGTGCATAAATCAAGACATCTCAAGCATTAGACTACAGAGAGGAGTGAAGCTTGCATGACGATGTTCAATTAAGGCAAGGGAGTATTCACAGACTTACTGATTCTCATTAGTAACTGTAATGGCATGCAACCATTAATGATATAGTATAGGCTAAAAGGAGTGGATTCAAAACTTACATAACTAAGGACATCAATTATAAAGAGCATTTTGGAGCTAATTTTTTTGGAAAAAAGCATAGGCTATGTGTACTATACATTAGGTCTACATGTATATACAAAAGTATAAATCCAACCAAGTCAAAGAGTCAATATTTCTCTCAACATGCAGAGCTTTAATTTCACAGACATGTAACCCAGTAAAGTTACGTCCCACTAAAGTAAGTTCACTATACAGCATTATACAATGATATGTGTAAAAATGGGGAAGAATAATCAATTAACTGATTCAGATTAGCACTATACATGTACCTATTTTATTGTAAATTAATTATATTCCACAACTCAAATGGCTACCAGTTATGAGGAGAGATAATGAAGACAATAATAACAATTTGACATTGGTAAATGTGATTGTAATGTACATATGCAGGGATTATTCCAAACAACAACAAATAAAGCACTGAAAAACAAAACTACACAATAAATAATATAACGATGTTTATTTAGAAAATTATTTTAAAAATAAAATATTGTTATCTAGTCTACATAGCGAGAAATTATCTTTTAATAGCAGGAAAAATAAAACAATTTTATGACACTTAAATAATCCATTTCAGTCAGTCCTATACCAGTGTTGTAATCTGCATTTCATAATTCTCTTCAATCTAAAATATAAAAAATGGTACAAGTGTGCTACTGACTTTGTTGTGGTCAAACTTTTGCTTTGGGGATAAATCCAACTTTGTAGGTTGTTTTTTGTTCTATGGAAGTGCCACACCTATCTACTCTCTGTGTTTCCATTATTCGTGAGTTAAATTTTCATTTTTGGAGCTTGGAGAACAAAAAACAAAACTTTGGCCAAACAAAGCAACCTACTATTATTCGGCATATACATAGTTTATTATCATTATTATTGAATAATTAAGTATTTGTACAAATCTTTTTAACTTTACGATTCTCAACAAGTATAGAGCCTCTATCAACAAGATTTTGGCATAGTGCTCATGCAGCTTCTTATCAGTGAATTGTTAAGTTGCTTAACAAATGGGCTTAAAACAAAAGATAAAAAATTCCCATTTTTGAACCGATTCCAATCATAGATTGTTCCAATCAAATTTGGATTTTTTTATAAATTTTAAACGTTTTTCAAAAATAAATAGGAGAAAATTCTTAAAGTTTATAGTATTTTCGAATGCTAACATATATCAACTTTGAGTTCATTCCAATCAAATTTGGATTTTCTATAAATTTTTAAAGTTGTTCAACAATTGGGCAGGCTGTATTGGCCAAATTTCATCAGAAACTGCTATGAGAGAATTTCCTTTTTTATAATTAATTTTTTCTAATACATTTACATGTTTTTATGCTGTGTATCAACTTTGAGCTGACTCTGATCAAATTTGGATTTTTAAATAAATCTTTCAGTTGCTACAGCCTGTACTGGCCAAATTTCATCAAAAATGGCTAAAAAAAAATTTTTTAATTTTAAATTTTTTTTCTGATACATATACATGTCCTTATATTGTGTATCAACTTTGAGCTGATTCTGATCAATAGTTGATTTTTTATAACTTTAAAAGTTACTCCAAAATGTCATGTACTGTATTGCAGTGCTTGTCAGCTGCTGTTCAGCTCACACATAGCATGCCCTGTGGGAAACCCTAACCTCTATAAGTTTTGGTGAGAGTAGATCTAAATAACACTAGCTATGTATGTATGTAAAGTGATGAATTCTAGCTTTCTAAGGGATTTTTTACTATTACCCTTGTTAAATTTTTTTTCTGCGATTACAAATTTAGTGGACACTGACGCTGTATATATGAAAAATGCAAAATAAATAATTTTGTAGATATTCATTAACTGATCACAACAGCCTAGATATACTGATGAATACAATACAGGTAATACATTACGGACCATTAACTGATTGTACATGTGGTGGTGGTGGTCACAGGGGCTTGTTTGAATTCATTTTACAGGATCAACCCTGCAGAAGCTTGTTTGAATTCATTTTGTAGGCTTAACCCTACACTATATAACTTTTTGAATTATGTCCTAGTCATTGTTATTCTTGCTGTAATTTCTCTTTCACTTAAAATTATTCCCATCTTTCTTTCTTTTTCTCCTTTATCTTTTTTATACTGTTGGATGACTACAAGACATCAGTGACTCAGACAAACCCAACGATGTGGACTTGTTTCACTTATTAATTTTAACACATGGATGTATGCTTTTGTATCTTAGTGCAGTGCAATTGTTTCTGTAATGCAATTTACAATAGCTTTTTCCAACCAAAATTATGCCAAGTATATTGCAGTACAATAATAGACAATAAAATGTGACTCTAATTATTGTCTTAATTAGCTCCTATCAATGTGCGGACAGGTTATATAGTAAATAGTGCTCTACTGCTAGACCCTATCTTCTTTGCGACATCAAGATGTGACTAAGTGAAGGACATAGTAAATAAGCAATTCAATATTCTCTACCTGGTATTGTATTTGAAATCGTCTGTGAATATGCACCTGTACCTTCTCTTTATATACATGACTATTCCAGAAACAGTAAGTTTAAAATAAAAATGTTATAATGCACCCTATTTTGTGAACATGCTCTTTATTTTTAGCAAATCTAGTCCAAATAGATATTTTGTCTCCTTTTGTTCTATTTCGTACCATAGCTCCACATATATCATCACTACTATCACCAAAAACTTCCCCAATTAAGCACATTAACTACAGAAAGCAACAACAAAATAAACATCATTCCATTTTTTGCAGACTTAACTGTTTCAATCCAAACATTGTCTAAAACTCCATCTTTTCTTTCTCTTTTATCAATATTTAACAACCACCTACCACCATCTTTATTTGCTTTGTCATCCCACATTGGTTCAATACCTTCCTAATAAAAAGGTTAATGTTTGCATGTCAAAAACACTTATTTACTTTAAATAGCATGTAGTCACACCCACTGCTAATTCGGCTTGGTGGTTTGATGTGATTGTACACACTACATGATTGAAGATCACACACATTACAATTTCAAAACTCATACAACTTACGACCAAAATTCTTCAACCTAGTAAATACAAAAATAAAATTGGGGGTACAATTAATGCATGTATAATGCTTTTAATTAAATAATAATTTTATAAAGTTAAAAGTTTATAACACTCTAATTGCAATATTACACTGTGATGTATTATGGTTGCTAGTGTCAAATTATGATAAAAATCATAATACAAAATGTTTACATGCAGATTATGTTCACAATTAACTTAAGATAACAATTAACATAATGTCCTATTACTGTATAGCGGGATTTATTGACGAGTAAAAAATTTGATGAAAACAGTAAATTTCCCCGGTTGGCAAGTTTTAATTTGACAAATAGTGCCCTTCATGTACATGCAGCACAAAATACAAAAATTTTGACGGCTATAAAATTTGACGTTTTATTTTAAATCGTCAACTCGTCAAAATAAAACCTTTGTCAATAAATCCCGCTATACGGTATATATGCAGCAGCCAATATGTACAATTGAGGTTGGTTTTTCAAGATAGCAGTCATTTTTATGATTTTCAAAACAGAGTTTAACATTTATACCATACAAGATGATTTATTGGTGGGAGTAATATTTGGCAAATTTGCCTGTGAAATTTTATATTGGCGATTTTGTGCCACGTGCCATTGAGCATGTTCAAATTGAAACAAAATGGCAGATTTTATATTGGAAATTTCTTCATAGAACTGCCAATCGTCAATATCAATTTCCTGCCAATTAATCATCTTGTACAGTATATACCGTATAGCAGGAAATTTTAGAGGGAATTAAATTTGGCAATTTGGCATTTTGATAGCCATTCGCCAAAATAAAATCCGCCATTTTGAGCCATTATACACATGCTCAATGGCACATGGTCACTAATTTGCCAAATTAAATTTCACCAATCGCCAAAATTTAGCAATTCGCCAAATTTTAGTCCCTCAAAACTTTCCTGCTATATGGTACATGTGTATGCATATAGTAGTTTTATTCAGAGGAAGTTGTACAAAAAGCAAGATCAACAAAATTATATCAATAATTTTGATGGACATGTTCATAAAATATACACTGTAGGTTCAAATATAAACAAAAAAACAGAAAGAGTGTCAAAAAATGGTTGCCATTGTAATATTCAACCAGTGACTATGTAAGCAGAGAGTGAAAAAGTAACATCAGTATGTTACCAAAGATAATTCATGCATTCAAAAGAAATAATTAAAAAACCTTTTAATTGCAACAATAGTCTAAGTACTTCACATACTGAAGAAATTATGACTCACACAGTTGTCAAGCACACACACATACGAACTAAAATTACAGTGTTAAAACTCACCGTATCAATGCAAATGATCTTTCTTAAATTGTCTTTCCATTTTTTTTGCTTGTCATTTTTCAAATACCATAAAACCCACCTACAGTATTCACTTATGATGAAATGATTGATATTAGAACTATTATTAAACACAAGCTAAACCTATTATACATGTAAGTTTACCCACTGCATTATAATTTATAGTGTTTAATAATAATAAATACAAAATATATGCATACTAGTCAGCTTTCTAGTAGTACATACATCATAAGTATTACAAAAATTCAAAATTGAGAGATATCAAGAATTAATATGCTATAACATTTGATTGTTTACTAATCCCACAAACTTTATAATTTTCACAGCATAACTACTGTGCCGCTATGCCAAATTCAAACATATATTGATTTTATAAAACCTACAATATTGTTTAATTACTGTCATGCAACAGATTCTGTGATGGGTTACTAGTGCTTCAATAAACATGATACACCGTAAATTGGGAAATTTTAAAATAATTTTAATTTTAATTTTCGGATGGGTAGAAAAAAATTGAAAATAAAAAAGTTAAAATTTTAAACAATTGAATATTAAATATTCAGGTAAAAAGGAATTTAGGTATCCGTGCCATGTGGCTTGACTTTAGCTGTCTTGTTTCTCTGTGCCCACTACTCTTTCTTTCTCGCTCATGCTCACTCTCTCTTGGTCTATCATTGAGCTCCTTGATGTCTCTTCAAAGTCATTCACTGTTACTGCTTAATATTCAAATTAAACTTAATTTTGGAACAAGATGGCTATCCAAAAATTAAAATTATTGAAAATTAATTATCCAATTTATTTTCTAATTGGAAATTTCCCAAATTACATGTAATGTAGTAATGTGTGGTTTTGATGATTAGGTGCCTAATTGAGAAAATAATTTCAATAGAAACTAAGCCAGAAACTTTAAACACTAACTAAAGTAAAATTAAACTTATTTAACTTCACTTATTGTTTGATTATTTTTTATAATCCAAAGTAATACTAATCAACAAAATAATGTTTCAAATCATAAATCAATCAGTGATAAAAATTTCCACTAACTTGTTTTGTAATGGATGTCTTTCTGGTGCAGAAATGAGGTGTTCAGTCTTATTCATTAATATTATATTATTGCCTACGCCATCAAATACAAGTACATGCATTGTTATGATAAGAAATCACATTCACCTCCTTCATTGTATTTATCAAAAATTTCATTTTCTTCACGAGTTTCTATGAATAAGTCAAAAGGATAATGTCTAGTCCCACCAGCAATCTGTCCAATAGTTTGATGCTGAAACTAAAATAAAAACAACAGGGTACAATAAATTAATTATACCATATAGCGGGAAATTTTGCAGGGAGTTACAAGTAAATTTGGTGATTGGCGGATTTGAATTTGGCAAATTTGTGGCCATGTGCAATTGAGCATGCGTATAATGGCTCAAAATGGTGAAGTTTATTTTGGCAAATGGCTATCAAAATGCCAAATTTAACAAATTTAATTGCCTCCAAAATTTCCCGCTATACGGTACCTCATCAAGATCCAAGGATTGCTCCATTACATCATCTTCATAGGAATATTTAACTAAACGACATCTCTCAATAGGAATAAAAGGAGCTAACTCCATTAACTGAGAAAAAATGAGAAAAAGAATGAGTAAATACATGTTCAACTAAAACTAATAAACCTCATAAGCTTTATCCAGCACTGTGGGTAGCAATTCATCTTTATGTACTTCAAGTATTGAGTCCATGAATTCTTCAGTAACAGGATGATTACAATACAATGTGAACTAATTAAAAGAGTAACTATCATTGTCTCATTTCACTTACTGAACATATTTGATCCTTTGTTTCATCATTCAGACTATCATGCCCAATCCTTTTATTTCTAGTCTCTTCATCTCCAGCACCCTCAGTCTCTTCATCTTTCAAATCTATTCAAATATCAATAATCAAATGATGACATTCATCATCAATAAAACCTTTAATATCTTTTATAATCTTCTCATTGCGTTCTCTTTCAGTCATTAGTTCCATATTCATTAATGTTATTCTTTCTTGTAATTTCTCTATTATTCTTTTATTATCTACTAATGGCTGATAGTCTGGACTTGTCATTGCTTTAAGATGAAATTTGCAGTCATCAATTTCAAAAGATATTCCTCTTCTCAGTTTGCTAGCAGCTTTAATCAATTATAATAATTATTAGTATAATTAATAACTATACTCTAACCTGAATTGGTATCACTAGTAAGTGATCTCAAATAATCAACCTTCATTTTTAATAATTTGTCTGACAATTCTTTGTTTTTGTTTTGTATCTCATTAAACTGAGAGCTCAATACAGTCAACTCTTCATAAAGTGGCTCTTCCTATTAATAATCATTGTAATTAATACAAACTAGTGAGATATACCTCAACTTTAATTGATTCAGTATCACTTTGAACAAGCAATGATTCCTTCTGATAATAAAAAATATTACATTATGTAAGCTACCATACAGCAGAAAACTTTGGAGAGAGTAAATTTAGACAAATTCTAAATTGTGGTGGTTGGCGAGTTTTAATTTGGCAAATTTGTGGCCATTGAGCATGTGTGGCTATCAAAATGCCAAATTCAGTCCCTAAAAATTTTTTGCTGTACAGTATCTGATCAGTTGCATCAACCAAATAGGAGTCTGTGCTCAAAGTATTGAAAGAGTTAAACTTCTAACCTCAATTACTCGAGCCACTGATATTTCCTGTTTCAAGTCAATTGCTTCCTATACATACAAGATTGCATTACACAGTTTAGTAGCGGCATGACATACCTTCTCTTTGCTACTGATGGCAACATTTACTTTACATTCAGCTTCTTTAAGTATAATAAAAGAAATAACCTGTACATATAATTAACACATTACAATCAACTGAACACATTGTTACATTCTACAAGCACTATAATTTTAATCAATAAAAGAAATGATTATTATCTGACCTCAGTATGTTGCAATAAGTCTTGATCCTTTTCCTTTAGCTCCTATACAATACATTATTCATAAAATTATATTAATATATCGTACCTTTTGTCTAACATCTTGTCTCCTCCATAATGTTAGGTTACCAATAGTCAGTTTCTTTAATCCTTGTCCTATTAGTATATGAATATTTTCTATCATCCTCAATACAGTAAACCCAAAATCAGAGGAAGGAAAGGAGCAAGTGACACATATTGACGTGGCAGGCTCTATAAACTGAATCTTCAGCAATTTACCAGAAACTTTTGCAAGAATTTCCTTGATATCCTCCAGCATATGTTCCTTAGGCTTCCAGTCAAAGATAAAAATAACTGTCTGACATTGAAGATGAGGAATAGAATCAAATCGCTTGTTTAAGCAAAGACTGATAGAAAGTGACTTGCAAGCTTCACTCAACTTTTCTCTATAAGTCATAATGTGTTCCTCTGCTTCAGCAATGTTCATTTGATCTACTATACTATGAAGCAGTTCAATATCAGTCAATGAACACTCATCTTTAACATGACGAAGGATGCTAGAAATATCTGAACATCGCTCTACTTTCTCACTAAGAGAAGTGCTATAATAAAACAGGAATTCTTTGATGTCTTCAACTGCCAATTTCCTTTCCAAAATCTTACGAACATTATAAAAGAGGCTAACAAATGACATCTTTATGGAGCTGAAATTAGAAAGCAAGTCTTTTGTAACTGGTATATGTACTTCACCTACAAAATACATTATCATCACAATTACCATTATTGTATATATGTTTAAACTTATACCTTGAGGTGATAAAGGTTGTGAAGATGAATTACTAGTAGCTGCTGCATCAGAAGGAGATTTATCTATGAATTTTAAAAAATGAATCAATTCTATTACTATAGATACTTACTAGATTGTGCTTCATTGGTTTCATTGGCCGTACTTGTATTATCTATAAAATATTAATGAATGCATTATCAATTAATTAATAATCATTACTTTGTGGAGCTACATCATGATCTTTAATAACAGGAACCACACCCGATTCAGGAGTAGGAAAATACTTACCTAAACACAATAATAAACAAACAGATTAGTATAGGATGTACTGAATAGTAACAGTTTTAATTTGGACACAAAATTTGATTCACATGTACATGTATAATAACAACTGAACCACTCATGGAAACTATAAACTATAAATATAATTAAAGAGAATATAATTAGAATGGCCAGTGATTACTTACTAATATCATCCAGTATAGTTTGTCCTAGTGATACATTAGTGCTTATTGTACACAATACATTAGCAAATGTATGTAAACTGTTGGGATCAGTTTGAACAGCTTCTTTGACACCAGTTAATAGAGCCTCACGTTGATTAGGAATAGAGGGACTAGCTGACACCACTCTACTAACTGCTTCTTGTGTTAACATACGTTCACCATAAAGTAACCAAGCAATACTAACAAAATCACGAAGAGACTGAGATAGGACAGTACGACGATTATTAAAAATATTAATAAGAACATGATGTTCTATGATAAAAAATACAATGATTATAATTTCATACAGTTGTGGTTGACTCACTTAACTTCTCAGCTACAGCAGTTTCATTCATAGATCCTAGAGCATCTGACAGTGAGTCCAAGTTGGCTCCTCCTCTACTGTCAACATTATCAACTCTACGTAGCCAATGAGAGAGGCATTCAGTCAAGCAGTGATACACGTCACCACGACACTTCATTTCAATGGCATCCAGTGTAGTTTTCAGTAGTCCTAGTCTCAGTCCCAACTCTTGCCACTTTGTTCCTTGAAAGCCACATTTCTTTAATAAGTCAATGACATCAATCAAATCACCAATATCTACATAATATTCAAAAATGAAAATTGCGGATTTATGTTATCAAAATTAATGTAGCCTACCTAAAAAAGTTTGAGTAGTGGCCATAGTTCTATTCAATAAGTGGGTCCTGTCTAGAGGCCAGACCCTCTGACCGTCGAGTGTTTTCTCCTCGGTTTTCTCACTTTTTTTCTAAGTAATTTACCATGTGGGCAAGGCTAAGACAATCATGGGCGTGGCTCAATCTCATTTGCAAATGACCATAGATAATAGAGTAATTTACTCTAATATCTATGAAATCTATGAAATGACTAATATCTAATATCTATGATTACTCTAATATCTATGATTACTCTAATATCTATGAAATGACTAATATCTTATCTATGATTACTCTAATATCTATGAAATGATTCAATGACAAAGCTGTGTTGGGGGCCTTGGCATTGTTGCATGCAATAAATGCTGCATAGATATATATGAATGAAGAAGTTAGATCATTATGATTGCAAAGCATTATTGTAGTAAACCATGCAAATTTTTAAAATTTTATTTGTGCTTGCTCACTTTGGTGTCATGGATATAAGAAAGTTCTGGTTGCATAAAGTGCAGGCATTGCAGTATTTTCTATTATTTTATTGACAAATTAACTCAATTAGTGGGTGCATCTTATTCAATTTTGGGTGCTAATGTATCCATATGCACCCACTAGATCCTGGCCTGTTTGCACTGAGCAATGTTCACAGCCTCCAAAACCCATAGATGTATCTGTAAATGAAAAATTAGATAATTTCAGTGCTTTTTATAATGGCATACACTTACTTTTAAAATGATGCGATCTTAATACCAGGATAAATTTTTAGAAATCTGAACATTTACATCAATAGTATTGTCTGCTAAATTTTGAGCTTGCTTAAATCTTAAAATCATAAAGTCACAAAGGGGCAGACATGTGGGACAGAAATTATCACACATAAAAAAACTACTAAAATTGCCCCATTACTGGTCATCCACCTCCAACTCAAACTTGAGCACAATGTTGTATACATGTATGGTCAGACTCATACTCAATGCTCTCCTTCCCTTAGTAAAATGATATTTATACCTAAAAAGTTATCATAATTTTATTTATATTCCCTGTACATTATGCACGAGACACCTACGGTGCATGGCCTCGCCCCTATAGCTGCTATGGTGCATGCCTGCACTGCAATAGCTGTTTGATTATCAGCATGAAGAGAGTCTGCTCAACACTAGCTTCCTGCAGTTGCATGCACTTGCTCTTGAATACCGTATAGCGTCAAATTTTCGTGGGTGAAAATTTTCGTGATTCCATACATTTTTGCTTTCAAGTAAATTTTCGTTAAAAAATTTTCGTGATTTAAATAAAATTTCGTGATGATTAAAACCACTCCTATCCATGTGGCCGCTAGTAGCTAGCCTTGCAGCTGGACTTGGAGAAGAAGCAACATGAGTGGTAGCATTATTCGATATTAATTCCCTTCGTGTATCCGTGGCTATCACATATACCAAGAAAGGTGGACTCCCTTTATAGGAGAGACTCTTAGTTGTGCCCGAGAAACAAATAAAAGGCGTGATGGGACACGCCCACGTTTATATCAAAATTAAATTTCGTGAAAAATATTTTCGTGATTGTCCATTCAATCACGAAAATCACGAAAATTTTCAACCACGAAAATTTGACGCTATACGGTACCTGCAGAAGTAGCAGCACTGCAGCACATACATGCAAGCAGCTCCAGCCCCTCCCATGCATGTAGATTGAAAGGTGTGGCATTCCATCATACTGGCATGATTGGCAGCAAGAAGACCATGTGAGAAAGAAGCTTCACTTTTTCTTTACTAATCAGCAATATATGATAAACTTGCTGACAAAAAAAGTTGCTGCCTTTGTATATTTGAGATAGTATAGGTACTTTAGTACCATAACCCAGCAAGTTGTTGCTCTAGCGCTGCACAAACGAGTGACCTCAACAATTTCAAGTAAGTATAACTCTTCATCAAGTAAGATTTAGAGAAATCTGTTCATATTATTTGAAGGCCATGTTCTAATCTACTGAAAAATGCTACCATCTATCTCTAAAGTGCCAACACAACGGAACTTGGCCCAACTGCTCGATTTTCTTACTTTGAAGCTTCTGTACCTAGCACTTGTATTTGAGCAACACAAAACAGTTATGAAAGACTTTTCCACACCAAAAAGAAAGATCTAAGAGCTTGAAACATGCTGTGCTAAAGTTATTGTTTATTAAAAACAAATTTCAGTTGTACAGAATGAATGACAGACAGACAGACACAACAACTACCTATACCTCGCGTAGGCGAGGCCAATAACACATTTACACTTTAGTTTATACCACCACTTTATTCAAATTTGCAAAATTTCCATCTTTAAACAAACTTTGACAAGGATTCAACACTTGTGAATGCACCAGAACATTCCTTTCAGAAACTATTCAACATTTTGTTCCTTAAGACAACATAGCCTGCTTTTCTGGAATACCACTTCCCTCGAGCAACTTCCATCATTCCAATACTTTCACCTAGCTTTTGATGCTTTCTTGACATAATTTGTATTTCAATCATAACTTAGATCTAATTGTAACAAAATATTTCATTATGACACTTGCTAATGATTATAATTTTTCTTGTTTGTTTTTAGGTCTCCTAACTCCTTCTTTAAATTCCTATTATAAGTATATATTTTCATTTTCTAAATACTAATGATATTTTTAAAACTTGTACCAAAACAATTGCATAAAAATCTTATGCTCAACAAAATCAGCATAATTTTTAAAGGATAAAACTAAGGCAAAAAATTTTGCAAAATTATTGCCTGCAAAATGAATTTAAGTAGGATTTTATAGGTTGTACCTATAAAATGAATTCAAAAAAGCCCTATCATCATGAATTAACTTCAACTTGTCAACCCTACACTAGTCTCGCGTAGGCACAGAGGGCGGGGTCTGGCTACATAAGACTAACCCTACCCTACACTGCAGCTAATTGTCAAATGAGTCATGTCTATTAAAAATGAACATGAATAATGCTATTGAATAATTGCCATAATTATGTAACAATAATTATGTAGGGTTGACATATTGGTGTTAGTTCAGTGATGGTCACACAGGGACTTCTTTGAATTCACTTTACAAGATCAATCCTGCAGGGCTTATCACTTAATTTAATTATTAATTTTAATACATCTACATGCAAAATTTACAATGACTTTTTCAAACCAAAAATTTTATATTAAGTATAATTATTATAGTATAATAGACAATAAAATTTGAAACAAAGATGACTCTAATTATTCTCGTTTAGCTCCTATCAATAACGTGTGGACAGGTTATAGTAAATAGTGTTCTATTGCTAGACCGTGTTACAACATCAAGATGTGACTAAGTGAAGGAGAAAGAAGACATAATAAGTAAAGTAAATTCAATATTCTCTACCTCGTATTGTATCGTAAATGGTTCAAAAATGTGGATTTTTATCTTCTCTTTATATACATGACTATTCCAGAAACAGTAACTTCAAAATAAAAATGTTATAATGTACCCTATTCTGTAAACATGCTCTTTATTTTTAGCAACTCTAGTCCAAATAGATATTTTGTCCCCTTTTGTTCTATTTTGTACCATAGCTCCACATATATCATCACTACTGTCATCAAAAACTTCCCCAATTAAGCACATTAACTACAGAAAGCAACAAAATAAACATTCTTTCCAATTTTTCTGCAGACTTAACTGTTTCAATCCAAACATTGTCTAAAACTCCACATTTTCTTCGTCTTTTATTAATATTTAACAACCACCTACCACCATCTTTGTTTGTTTTGTCTTCCCACATTGGTTCAATACCTTCCTAATAAAAAGGTTAATGTTTGCATGTCAAAAACACTTATTTACTTTAAATAGCATGTAGTCACACCCACTGCTAATTTGGCTTGGTCGCTTGATATGATTGTACACACTACATGATTGAAGATCACACACATTACAATTTCAAAACTCATACAACTTACGACCAAAAGTCTTCAACCTAGTATAAAATGGGGGTTACAATTAATACATGTATAATGCTTGTAATAAAAATATATAACTTCATAAAGTTAAAGTTTACACCACTATAATTGCAATATTACACTGTGATGAAGTTATGGTTTTACAGTGTCATATTTTGATAAAAATTATAAAAATAACCTATGCAAAAATGTTTACATGCTAATTATGTTCACAATTAACTTAAGATAACAATTAACATAATGTCCTATTATATGCAGTAGCCTATATGTAGGATTGAGGTTGGTTTTTCAAGATTGCAGTCACTTTTATGATTTTTAAAACAGAGTTTAACATTCATATATACATGTGTATATATGTAGCAGTTCAATTCAAAGGAAATTGTACAATAAGCAAGATCATCAAAATTATATCATTATATTGATGGACATGTTTATAAAGCATACATTGTAGGTTCAAATATAAACAAACAACAGAAAGAGTGTCAAAATAAAAGGTTGCCATTGTAATAGTCATAGGCAGCGGCAGGATTGGAAGAGTAGTTGGGCAAAAAATGGCGGGCAAAAAATGGCGCGCAAAGTGTGCCACAATTTTGACCACACCCACCTTTTTTGCGCGTAATTTGGGCGTATACTCAACGCATGCATACAATATGATATACCATAAAAATATGCCTAAAAGGCCTCCTGTCTCATCTGTAAAGCTCTATTAAAGTGCTAGTCCTGGTCCTCTTGAAGGCTTGTTGACAAAGGAAAGCAGAAAAGACTGTCTCTTGCTAGCTATGATCATTATTCATGACTAAAAATGAGGTCATTAATTAAATTTTCATTTCCGGTCAAAATTTTTGGTCGGGCATTGCCCGTCCATGCCCGACCCTGCCGCCGCCTATAGTAATAGTCAACCAGTGACTATGTAAGCAGAGAGTGAAAAGTAACATCAGTACATTACCAAAAATATGTCAATGCATTCAAAAGAAATAATTAAACAAAAATTTTAATTGCAACAATAGTCTAAGTACTTCACATACTGAAGAAGTTATGGCTCACACAGTCACACACACAAACACACAATAACTAAAATTACAGTGTTAAAACTCACTGTATCAATACAAACGACCTTTCTTAAATTGTCCTTCCATTCTTTTTGCTTGTTACATCTCANATACCACAAAACCCACCTACAGTAATCACTTACAATGAAATAATTGACATTAGAACTATTATTAAACACAATTGTAAGTTTAACCACTGCATTATAATTTATAGTGCCTAATAATAAATACAAAATACATGTATACTAGTGCACATACATTGCAAGTATTCCAAAAATTCAAAATTGAGAGATAACAAAAATTGATACGCCATAATATTTGATTGTGTGATTTTCATGATTAGGTGCCTAATAGAAACTAAGCCCAAAACTTTAAACACAGACTAAAGTTAAATTAAACTTATTTAATTTCACTTATTGTTGGATTATTTTTTTGTAATCCAAAGTAATACATGTATATACTAATCAACAAAATAAAACTTTAAATCATAAATCAATGATAAAAGTTTCCACTAACTTGTTCTGTAATGGATGTCTTTCTGGTGTTACCGTAATGAGTTGCTCAGTCTTATACATTGATATTATATCATTGCCTACGCCATCGACAAATACAAGTACATGCATTGTTATGGTAACAAATCACATTCACCTTCTTCATTGTATTTATAAAAAGATTCATTTTCTTCACGAGTTTCTATATATAATTGAAAAGGATGATGTTTAGTCCCACCCACAATCTGTCCAATAGTTTGATGCTGAAACTAAAAATAACAATAGCAACAGGATACAAAAAACTTAAGTATGCCATATAGTGGGAAATTAAATTTGGTGATTGGCGGATTTTAATTTGGCAAATTTGTGGCCACATGCCATTGAGCATGCACATAATGGCTCAAAATGGTGAATTATATTTTGGCAAATTGCTATTAAAACGCCAAATTTTATTGCCTCAAAAATTTCCCACTATATATGGTACCTCATCAAGATCTAAGGATTCCTCAATTATATCATAATAACTTTCATAATATTTAACTAAACGACACCTCTCAATAGGGAAAGGAGCTAACTCCATTAACTGAGAAGGAAATGGAAAAAAGAATGAATAAATACATGTTCAATTAAAACTAATAAACCTCATAAGCTTTATTCAGTACTGTGGGTAGCAATTCATCTTTATGAACTTTAAGTGTTGAGTACATAAATTCTCCAGTAATAGGATGATCACAATGCAATATGAACTAATTGAAAGAGTAACTATCATTGTCTGATTTCACTTACTGAATATATTTGATCCTTTGTTTCATCATTCAGACTATCATACTCAATCATATTATTGCCTATGCCATCAAATACAAGTACATGCATTGTTATGGTAACATATCACATTCACCTCCATCATGGTATTTATCAAAAATATCATTTTCTTCACTAGTTTCTATGAATAATTCAAAAGGATAATGTCTAGTCCCACCCACAATTTGCCCAATAGTTTGATGCTGAAACTAAAATAAAAAATAAAAAATAACAACAGGATACAAAAACTTAGTTATACCTCATCAAAATCCAAGGATTGCTCCATTACGTCATCATCATAAGAATATTTAACTAAACGACATCTCTCAATAGGGATAAAAGGATTCAACTCCATTAACTGAGAAAGAAATGAAAAAAAAGAACAAATAAATACATGTTCAACTAAAACTAATAAACCTCATAAGCTTTATCCAGCACTGTGGGTAGTAACTCATCTTTATGTACTTCAAGTATTGAGTCCATAAATTCTCCAGTAACAGGATGATTACAATACAGTGTGAACTAATTAAAAGAGTAACTATCATTGTCTGATTTCACTTACTAAACATATTGGATCCAAACCTATTCAAAGATCAATAATCAAATGATCACACACATCATCAATAAAACCTTTAATATCTTTTATGATCTTCTCAGTGTGCTCTCTTTTAGTAATTAGTTCCATATTCTTTAATGTTATTTTTTCTTGTAATTCCACTATTATTCTTTTATTATCTACTAATGGCTGATAGTCTGGATTTGTCATTGCTTTAAGATGAAATTTGCAGTCATCAATTTCAAAAGCCATTCCTCTTCTCACTTTACTAGCAGCTTTAATTACTCATAATTATTATTATAATTAATAAAGCTACTCTAACCTGAATCAGTGTGACTAATAAGTGATCTCAAATACCCAGCCTTCATTTTTGATAATTTGTCTGATAATTCTTTGTTTTCTTTTTGTATCTCATTAAACTGAGACCTCAATACAGTAAACTCTTCGTCAAGTGGTTCTTCCTATTAATAACTATTATAATTAATACAAACTACTGAGATATACTTCAACTTCTTTAAATGATTCAGTATCACTTTGAACAAACAATGATTCTTCCTAATAAATAAATCGTTACATTTACATAAATAAAATACATAATCAATTTAAGGTTAAACTTTTAACCTCGGATACTTGAGTCATTGATATTTCTCGTTTCAATTCAATCAGTTCCTACAAATACATTGCATTGCACAGTCTGGCAGTACGGCATATATACCTTCTCTTTGCTGCTGATAGCATCTCTTAGTTTATATTCAGCTTCTTCAAGTATAATATAAGAAATAACCTGTACATATAATAATTAAGATAATCATTACCCGAGACACGCGTAAGCGTGATCGAGGGTAAAGCAGTCATCCTGTCTGTGTGTGTAAAGTAAAGTAATGATACATTAACTGACCTCAGTATGTTGCAGTAAGTCTCTATGTTCTTTTTGTTCCTGTACATAATAATAAAAAAATAATATTCAACTATTTATGCATATCATTTACCTTTTGTACAACATCTTGTCTCCGCCATAATGTTAAGTTACCAATAGTCAGTTTCTTTAATCCTTGTCCCATTAGTATATGAATATTCTCTATCATCCTCAATACAGTAAACCCAACATCAGAGGAAGAAAAGAAGCAAGTGACAGATATTGAATTTGTTCGTTTTATATAGTCAATCTTCAATAGTTTACCGGATGCTTTTGCAAGGATCTCCTCGATATCTTTGAGTACATGTTCCTCAGGCTCCCAATCAAGGACAAAAGTAACTGTTTCACATTGAAGATGAGGAATGGAAGCAAATCTTTCCTTCAAACAAAGACTGATGGAGAGTGAGTTGCAGAATTCCTTTAACTCTGTTTTATATGCCTTAATGTGTTCATCTGCTTCAGTGATCTTCATCTCATCCACTACACTATGAAGGAGTGCAATGTTAGTCAGTGAACACTCATTTTGAATAATATGCAAGAGACTAGAAATATCCCGACACTTCTTCACTTTTTTACTAAGAACAGTGCCACAACAAGACAAAAGCTCCTTTATATCTTTTAGCGAGCAGCACTTCTGTTTAATAATCTTGCCAACATTGTAAAACATCCTTCCGTAAGACATTCTCATTGAGATAAAGTCCCCCAGTAAGCCTTTTGAAACAGGAACATGTACTTCAACTATGAAAGATATTACTAGTTTTGTAGTATGTAAAAGGTGTATACCTTCAAGTGATAAAGGCTGTGAAGATAAATTGCTAGCAGCTGCTGCATTAGAAGGAGATGTATCTATATATTAAAGAATAAAATAATGATACACTTTTACTACTATACATGCTTACCAGATTGTGTTATCTTGGTTTGATCAGCAGTACTTGTATTATCTATAGTGATATTATTGAATGTACATGTGTTATCATTTTATTAATAATTATTACCTTGTAAAACTACTATATCATGATCTTTAATAGTCTCAAAAACCACACTCACTTCAGGAGTAGGAAAATACTTACCTAAACCAGGGATATTCTATTATATTATTAGTCTATTATATCCCTGCCTAAACACATAATAATAAACAAACAATTGCCATAATATACCATTATAGCACTTTATTTTGGCAATTTTGCTGATAAACTGTAATTGGTGGTTTTTAATTTGGTGATTTTTGATTTTTGTGTACAATGCATTACTGATCATGCACTTTAATATTGGTAATTTTGCTGGCAGATCGCCAGTCGCCAAAATAAAACTTCAGTGCTATAAACAATATCAGTTTTAATAGGAAACTAAAATTTGATTTACATAGATTGATTCACATTTCCCACCCACAATATGCACACATAACAATGAATAATACAGGCCTGTCACAAAAAAAATTGTCCCCCGTGAAAATTTATCCTAGGATAGAAATATCACGTGATATTTTATGTCCGCGTCAGCAATTTTTTGTCCTACCAAAAGAAAAGTGTAAAGGAACTAAATCTTTGTATTCGACTTTGTTCCTTAATTATTTATCTATGGAATACAAGTACAAAGCATGTGGGACCCTTTATTATACGTTCAAAGTACATAGAAGAAGATTTCAGATCGAAGAAGGATGACAGACTGTGTCAAGAACCGAGTAAAGAACCCAGGAAAAAATTAAGAGGATGATCTTATGGAGAAGGCAGCTGTGTATTTAGCTGATAGAAAGTGTCCA